GGGTGTTGTGTTGCAGGTGCTTGTCTGTTTGAATTCTAAAGTCCCAGAGCACTTTAGCTTCGTTTTCTATTACTTTGTCTGTTTTGTGGTCCCACCAATTCTTGCTTGCAGGCAAATGATACTTCTTGAAGATATTCCAATGCACCATTGTTGTTACCTTGTCATGCCATTGTTTGTAATCAGTCTGTGTGATCTTCTTGTAGCAGCTAACTAGGTGGTCTACTGTTTCTTCAGCTTCTTTGCAGAGGTGGCATTTATCTTCTCAATTCTGGCTTTATATGCATGATTGTTGTTGTTGTTGTTGTTGGAAGAAATCTATTTCTTGCCACAACTAGTCTCTTGATCATGTGCCCACTTCCTCCAGCCATTGCTATGTCATAGTACTGCATCTCCTTTACTCAATTTATTCAAGTAAAATAATGTAATGAAATAAATGTAGAAAGACTTCTCAAAATGTAAATCAAACATAGAGTTAAATTCATTTTGATTTCATGTATCTTAGCTCAGTTATCCAAAGGAATTCTAAACCATAGCTAGCTCTTCTTTTATTTTCATCAACACAGAGGGTAAATAAAAATTCAGTAGTTAAGAAAGCTTCCTGTGAATTCTTATATGACAAACCTTTGTCAGATCAAAATCTAAAATAATAAACCACTGGTTAGGCACCAGTGGCATCAAATCTGATTTGTTCCAATTTATATGGTAACCAGATAGAATCCTAAAGTCATTTATTAATGAAATAAGATTGAACTGGGAAACTATTAGCATCTTAGACCAGGCCATATCCAAAGTGCTAGGGAATTCCTGGAAGCTTGTGATTCAGACAAATCAGCCATCAACGTAGAGATAAAATACATTTTCACACCATTCAAAACAGACAATAAAAAACCTAGAAAGCAAGCAAAAAGACTAGAGTACATCCCCTCCAGCAGCCATCATTCAGATAAGCAGGGACCAACACCAGACAAACAATCAGGAAGAAAACAATATTCTGATTAAGGAACCCCAAGGACAGAACTACACCCCCACCAAAACCTGCAGGGCAAGCTACTGTATATAAAGAGGCAGGGAACCCCATGCTCACTCTCACCAATGATGTTACCTAGTTGGGTAATGAAAAGTCAGCTAGCAAACAACCAAGCTCAGAGAGCATCAAGAACTCCACAGTTCAACCTTGAGCTACAGATATTTTCTTATATTGGAAATGAGATTAGGACTACAGATTACTCATCTATATATAAAACATAACATATAACCTGAATACAGTAGAATATTATGCTTTGTCCCTCCCTTCTGTACAGGTAGTCCTCACTTACTGACTGCAATTGGGACTGGGAACTCTGTCGCCAAGCAACATGGTCATAAAGTGAAAAATCACATGACTGCGCCTGACTTATGACAGCAGTTCCAGCTGTGGTTGTTAGCAAATCACCCGCCGTCATTAAGTGCGATGTCACATGACCATGACTTGCAATTTCCTGCCAGCTTCCCCACTGGTTATCTTGTCGGAAGCCGGCTGTAAAGGTCACAAATGGCAATCGTGACTGGGGGATGCTGCAACCATCATAAATGTGTGCTGGTTGCCAAGTGACCAAATCATGATCATGTGACCAAGGGGATGCTGCAATGGCCACAGCTTCAAGGACTGGTCATAAATCTCCTTTTTCAGCACTGTCATAATTTCAAAAGGTCGCTGAATGAGTGGTCGGTAAGCAAGGACTACCTAAACTTCCATTAAAGTTTTCAGAAGTCTAGTTATGCAGGCAAGATATTTTAATGCCACATTTTTTAAGAAAAAGGGTATCCTGGGCAAGAATCTCAACATAATCAAAGAGAGGAAATACCATTAATAAATCATATCAATCCAAAATATAAAAGTTTGGGGAAACCCAGAATAGGTCAAAGTGTCCAATTTTGTTCAAACTTCCAATAGACCATATTTAAAGCTTTCAAAGAACTGCTGGGTCTTTCCTATTTTGAATTAAAGTAAAAACATTGATAACTGATATTGCCAGAAACTTGATGGCTTTGTATAAACCCAGCCTAAGCTGTATGTGCAATAGTAGGAGGAAAATTCTGTAATCTGTGGGCCGAGTAGCTGTTACAATTTTAGTATCCACAGTGATCAAGGAAATAGATCATATAGGGGAATCTTTGCTCACTGTAGGAATAACAATTATATTTCTCATTAAAACTAGAATTCTATACCAGATTTCAGACATGGAACTCAGGCAGAGTTTGGAAATTTGAATGGAGATTTTTGCTTCTCCTAATTTCTATTTCTCAAGAACTGAAGCACAGGTGTTTCTATCTTGAATTTTCAGCTTTATGCTTTTCTGATCAATACAAAGATTGGTGTTTCAGTGCACCCTTGCAAAAATCCAGCCCATTTTTCTTTATTCCCTTAGATAAGGTCATCCATCTCTTTTCAGTTCAATACATTTGACAGACAAATCTCAAATCCCTTCACTGCCTCAGAGCTGTCCCTGAAGATGTATTGATTATAAATAAAATATGATCACTAATGGTGTTTTACTACTTTTATGTTAATTTGCTTACTTATTTCTATATGGCAGAAAATTCCTAAAATGAGAGGAAAGAAAGACAGATGGGAGAATTGAGCTGCTGCAGAGGAACAGATCTATGAAACACAATTCTGTCCTTGCTTCCACCAGGTTCTCAGGGGAGTGTCTTTCCTCTTTTGTTTAGGATAAATTGGTGTCCTGTTTCAGGTCAGCACACACAGGCACAGGAAGGTGATTGCAACACTTTATTAGAAAATGGCTTGGTAAAGTAAATACAAGTGCAAACACACACACACATAGTAAAGCAACAAGTCCCAGTGCTTAGCAAGCTCGCCTTAGCGAGCACAGTCCAAAACAGCAGGCAGAGAGAGAGAGAGTAGTCAGGTGAAGTCAAAAGGTCAAAACTGGGTACAAGGTTTGTCAGCTGGTCCAGGTCTAGAGTTGAGGTCTTGAGGTTCACAGGTAAAAAATCAAGGTGCATGGAGCAGGGGTTAACAGACAGTTGTGGTCTACAGGGGAGATGAACTTGCTGTTCCATTTTAATAAAAGCGGCCCCGGTATAGCTCATTTAGCAGGGCGAGACTCATGAGTAATCTCACAGAGCGCCTTTGCTCTGCTCTCTTTGCAGCCTGCTGAGCTCTTCTGTTGGGAGGGCACGGTAATTCCTCTCCTTCATCTTCGGAAAGCGGGGATAGCTGTCTCTCAGGCGGCAGTCCATCCAGTGCCTCTGGAACTGATGGCCCCTTGTCTGTGGGCACTTCTGACGCTAACTGCTTGTCAGTCTCCTCCTCTGACTCCGAATTTGAGCCCACCATGACAATTGGATCAGTGCCATGATGCAATCCCAAGTTTAAGAATCATCACTGAAGTTTGGTTTTGCAAATAGCACTGAGCAGGCAAATGAATCAAGATACTAGGGGAAGAGCAAGAAGTAAAAAAAAAGTCACTGGCACCACATGCCTTGCATGAGGCCCAACTTTCCTTTGTAAATAATGAAAGTTACTTTAATTTAGCACAACAAATCAACAGGGAAAAAATGAAAGTTGAGATGGTTGAAATTCTACCAGTTTCCACATTTTGCAATAGGTACCAACCTCAATTCCATTGCTGGTTCCGTCATTTTCTTGGATAGCATCTAACTGAATGAGGCTCAAGCCCTCTGCCTGGCACCTCTCCTATTCACAGAGGCATTTTCTTTCTTTTGTAGTTGACCAAAGTATGTTTGAGAATTCAAACACTACCCTGGCACCAAAGTTGCCTGTTGCCAAATCTGCCTTCCGGTCCTCCACTGGTACAAATCTACGAGTTCAGCCAGAGTGGAAAACTGGCAGCCAACACATCAAAAACCTCAGCATGACTGTTGGTGCAAAAGTCAGTGATTTCCTGCGCAGGAAAGAGCCTGCGAATCATAGCATCTTTGGGGTAACAGAAGTCAATGAGCGTGCAGGGGCAGCCCTCTCATGTGGACAAGGCACATTGCTGGGAGGTCAGGACCAGGCAAATGGGTAAGTGGCTCTATGGGGTTTATTGGCATTTATTCTTGCAACTTTCCCAGATCTGGGGCATATCAGCAGAAGTAAAATAAAAAAGCAGTGGTTTCTTCCTGCTTCTCTGTCACTAACCAATCCAACCATAGTCTTACATTTGCTAAGGGAAGAAGAAGAGTAGAGGGGTTAGTTAAATGGCTTAGTGTATATCTTACTCTTTCAAGATGAGGTTAAAAATTAAATGAAGGCAATGTTGCTATAGGCCAAGCCAGAGGTCATGAAAGGCAAGTACCTTTATGATCACAAGTACAAAGCAGAGGGGGAATTCTGACTGATAAAATATTCAAGAGCACATATTTAAACCCACATTTTTCTGCTCCATTTTCCTGTGCAATGAAGAGGCTGGGGTACTGGTTCAGAATATTTTACCAGAAATAAAAGCCCTGCCCTCTATTCTACTTTAGTTTAGCCATTGTCCAGTATGTATATACAGTACTTCCCCCCCCCCAAAAAAAACCATCTTGCACTTAAACCAAGGTTCATTCATTTAATTATTCTTTGATTGGATCTGGGAAGGCAATGTGAGTGAAATTGAAAGAGCAAGAAAAAGCATTCCTCTCTCTGGTTTTAGTGCATGCTTTCTTTGGGGGACACGCACACTTCATAGGGTGAAGCAAGCCACAGTCAGAAGAGGAAGAGATATATGTGTGCAGGCAGAAGGTGTAAACAGTTGAAGCTTCAGGCTGTCACCAGCCGAGCATGGAAGCAGTCAAACATAAATTGCTTTGATAGTGGTGGCTGGGACTGAGACATGAAGGAAATCACAATTGGATTTTGATGGAAGGAATTTGGAAAAGAGGATGTTGGTAGGTCTTTCCAAGTAAACAGGCACTAGGATTACTGTATGGAACTTTTGGAAGATGCTTTCTCGAAACACAAAAAAGAAAATGCCTTCTCTAGAAACCAAGTTTTTAGTTTGCTATTTCTTGATAGGTAAAGTAATTGCTACTTCCTGAAGGTAACATGTTCCAATTGTCAGTCAAAGTACTGACTGTTTCTTGATTACCAAGAAGAGCTTTTAGTAATGCTAGTAAAGTTTCTTGTGAAAAAGCTGCTGATAATCAAAAACTTTCTTCTTTCCGAGATTAATTCCAAGACAAGGAGATTTTTTTAAGCACTTAGCAAAGTTGTAATAAAATGCTTCTCTTAATCATCCTTTCCTGAACTTTTAGGCAGACACCAGCAAGTACCATTCCACGGCTTAATCCACCCCCACTGAGTACCAAAAAGCGCACTCCAAGAGCTCTGAAAACCACTCAAGATATGCTGGTTGCTTCCCAGCCACAGATGGGGACCACAAAAACCTCACTTCCTGAGGAAGGCCGGGAACTTCAGTGCCCACCCACCAAGACAGAGGCAGCTTTTAGAGAGATTAATTCGTTGACACAGGTGGAAGTTGGAACCAGCTGTAATAGGGCGTTTGATGTGCCTGATCTCATTCATAAGGAGAACTTGGAGCCCAAACAAAGTGCAATTCACAGTATATCTTCTTCCACTCACCCAGAAAATGTGGCTCTTAGACTCGATTTAAGTGCTAGCAAAAGCCTTCCTGAACACCAAAGCTGCATAGACCCTTCAGAAGCAAAGTCGCCAATCTTGGAAAGTGAAGGCCATAGCCCAGACTTGTTGTCTTTTGAGTAAAACATCTGCAGCTGTGCCTCATTTTTATAGCCAAAATGGTCATTGTAGCAGTTTCTTTATGAAAACTTCCTGAGCCAGGTGTTGGAATTGACCCCACATTCCCTGAAAGCAGCTTTCTATTCTCAGGAAGTAGTGGCAGGAAGCATCTTGAGGAAAAAGTGGGTCTCTTTTCCAAGACATTTCTTGCATTCATCTAGCCATGGGAATGTACTCCGCATGCTATTTCTGCTTTAGTCCCTTGTATAGACTGTCTGGGCACAGCCTCAATAAAGATGATCTGCACAACCTGAATGTGAGAATTGGTAGTGGTGAGGCTGTAACCCAATTAGAGCATTCTTGATATATTCTTCAAATGCACTTTCAGATACCTGCAGGACAAAAATGATTCCAAAATGAAATTGCCTTGCATGAGCAGAACAAAAAATGCAGCAGGACTTTATGTGAGACTCTCCATGCTGGATTATGATCACTACAGACGTTTCTTGTTTTGAAGTTTTACAAGAGTTGTTAAAGTGCAATTGAAAGTCAAAGCAATATTTGCTGGAGGGGTTTAGGAGGAGAATGCACTCTGGTCCAAAAATAATGCTATGTTCTCTTCAGTTGCCTGTGAAGAAACTTCTGAATGTATTGTCCTTTCCTTAGCCATTGTTCTGTTTGCCATGAATGGAGAGGTTTTGGGCTCCTGCTACATATATAAAACAGCTTCATTAACAAATATTTTAGTTCCTGAAGATGAAAAACAACAAAATCTGTGTGCTCACCTCCCTCAGAGGCAGTGGAGAAACTAAATATGGGCCTTTTCTGACTTAGATCAACACCTCCCTTGTCTGTCTGGGCTGGGTTTGACTTCCATAAATGTGATGAGATTCTATCCAGAAATCCAGCTGGAGTTCTGTCCATTCAGGTGCCCAGGGATCTTTATCTTGTTTTCCTTTCTCAAAAAGCACAGCAGAAAACCTAGACTTGATCCAATGTGGAGAAACTCTTATAGAGCAGTATGGTGCTTGAGTGCCTCCCTTTGCCTGCCACTCATGTATCTGGCAGGAAGAACCATCTTTGCTAGTGAGCCTCTCTTCTCGTCCATCATATAACCATTAGTTCAGGCCTTTGTGTCTGTGTCACTTGCTATATATGCTCAACAGTGGGCATCTGAAACCAAAGAAGTAGGTCGATGAACTGAGCACACTATACTGAAATTAATCTGCTCTCGGTTGCCTGTATACCTGGTAGAACAGTTCTAAATTTATCTGCAAAATTGAAATAGGGTGGGGAGAGATTGCCAATGGCCCTTTCCAATGTATTTCTTCTGTATACACATATAGGTTGATAGCATGAATATCTAAAAGTACTATTTGAACATGTCAGTTAAATGGTATCAACCTCATATAGGAATACTTCCAAATTTGAATAGCAACACAAGTGCTTGTATTATTTTGAATACTAGAGTCAGCTGGGAATCTGGCTTTTTGTCAAGCAAATTCCCTTATATTTTTGCATGTTCACTTCTATTATTACTCTAATTCCTATCGTTGTTTTTCTGACAGAAATTCTTTATCAAATTGAGATAAATATGCATGAATATCTGAAAGTCAGTGAATGTCCTTGTTTGAATATCCAAAGTAAAAAATTTAAATAACATGCAGTCAAAGGAATACTTAACAATAACTGACAGTTGAAATAGATTTTACACTTGAAACCTACTGAAATCAAGAAATGCCATAGAAATCTCAAATTTAAAATTTTCACTTTGGATGATCAAACAAGGAAATTCACTGATTTTGTATCAATGCACACAATCATTGTGTAATTTATTCAATATCAGCTTATTGTATGATGATTGATACCAACTGGTTTTCAAAATGTCTGGCAGGTTACTGTGGATTCTTTGGAAGCATCTTGTCTCTTCCTAGGTGTATAAATAAGCGTCCGTGAAAGACTGCTTGCTGACTACTGCACTGACCTTCCATTCCAAGGTTTAGCTACAAAAGAATGTTGAGTGTTTTTGTAGACATGTTCTATGTTTATGGTGGATCATACTGAATTTAAAAGTGACTCCATGTGAACTGAGCTTATACCCCAAGATAAGCCCAAATCATCTGCTGCTAGTAGAGGATCCTTGATAGTTCCACTAAGATGGAAAGTATTGCTTGAAAGAAGAGAACTAGAAACTCACCCTGACACTCTACTGCTGTTTTAGTTCTCAGTGCAATCAAACACTAAATAACATGTTTGATTACTGTCAATTATCAACTACTGAAATAAAATACCACTAAATGTCAAATAAGGACATCAGTTGTTTGAAGAATACATCCTCAGCAAAGATTGTGAAGAATAATTATGAGAATTTTTGAAAGGAAATTCATTTTTGCTCTGTTCTGTGCTCTTAATGCCAGGCAGAAATTCAGCAGATGAAGCTTTTTCCAGTGTTGCTGCTAGTTTATTCAAGAAATGGTGGTTCTTGAATTGTTACTACAAAGCTATTAATAGCACACAGCTTTTATTGGAAGGCTGGGGGAGGGAAAGCCAATTTCTATACAGAAACTAAAATCCCACTGAAATCAAGGTGGTTTGAGTCCACACAGGTGTGTGTTATGAGCCAGCCATCCAGCTCCCTGTCAGCTCTAATCAGCCCCTGAACAAGGTCATCTGCTCTCATGGGGTTAAATATCAGTATGCTGATGATACTTGATTTACCTCTCACCCTTGGGCCAAACAGGAGATCCTGTTGAAATGCTGTCCAGATGCTTGGAGGCTGTTCAAGTCTGGATGAGGAGGAATGGGTTGAGGCTTAATCCCAGCAAGATGGATTGGCTCTGGGTTTGTAAGCCCTCCTGGTTCCTGAGAGATTCCAACCTTGATTCTTGATGGGATAGTGTTCCCCTGAACTGAATTAGCTCATAACTTGGGAATCTTCCTGGAATCATAGTTCCTGCTCAAGGAGCAAGCGGCAAATGGGTACACCAGTTACGACCCCTCCCAGAATGAAAGACTTTGCTTGCATCATTCAGGTCTTAGTCACCTCTCTACTGGATTGTTGTGCTTTTCTTGGGGCATTTGGAAACTACAACTAATGTGGCAGCCCAAGTAATCACAGGCACCTCTCATTGCACCCATATAACTTCTGGTGTGCTGGTTATCAGTTGGCTTCTGGGTGTAATTCAAGGTGCTGGTTGTCACTTTTAATGCCTTTTGTGGTTCAGGCCTGGATATCTGTGAGTCTGCCCTCTCCTAATAACATCTGCCTGACTGACAAAATCAGGTAGCTGAGGCTCTCTCCATGTCCTCTTGCTCAAGGAGTGCCACCTGGAGGGGCCACAGAAGCATGAGTTCTCTATTGCTGCCATCCTATGGAACAGCATTTTCTGGACTTTCAATTCTCTTTTGGCATTTAGGAAGTCTACTGAGACCTACTTACTTAAGTAGGCCCAGGGGTTTGAATGACTTTTCCCTCAAGCAATTGGAAATTATTGTTTTGCTGATTGTGTTTTATTCCTGGGTCTTATATAGATTATTTTATTCATTAAGTTGTATGGCTATATGCTGTCTGTTGTTTTGCTTTTATCCCAACTTACGAAGGGGGAATTGTGCACAGCTTACAGTCTATGGTGACTGGAGCAGTCTATAAGCCCTGCAAACAAACAAATAATCAAAGTATACATATAAATTGCTGGATTATGGGCTTAATATGAATGTTTTAGACACAGTTTAAAGTAAGAAGTTAAGTGGAAATCATCATGTAGCACTGTCCATTGCATGTTTACACAGAATGCTGTGGTATATAAAAATAAGCATGCCAGGGCTACAGTTTAAATTTCTTGAGAAGACTATCTACTGAAGTATGTGCATTTTCAGATGTCTAATGCTGAAACTCAGTCCCCTGTTTTAGACATGTATTGTATACTTCTCTAGGAAATTTATAATGTACTTAATTTTTTAGAATATGCCCAGTAATCATTGTGACTATGTATTGCCTACGGTATTTTGTTGTGCCTGTCAGTGGCAATTGCTGGGGAACAAGGGGGGCTGCGGTGATGGTGCTATTGCACTCAAGTTCTGCTTAGCAACCTTTTAGGGACATTTCTCTGGTTGGCCATTGTGTGAAGAGATGCTGGGAGAAATGGGCCTTTGGTCTGATCCTGCAGGACTTGTACGTGGATACATAGAAACTTAAGACAAATTCACTGTTTTAATGAAGGAGAATCCGCAATAGAAGTAGCAGCTAAAATCATGCTTTTTAAAAATAATAACTTAAACCCTTTTAGTTCTATAATCTAAATTAGTAAAGGAATATGTGCAGGTTTTATCTAATTCAGATTGTACAATAAAACCTTTGTTGCATCTTATTGGTGGTGGTGTTGTTTATAATAAATTATATCTCAGAATCGGACTATCTGAAAAAGAAACTCCCTCATGATAAATATTTAAACCGTCAGTTTTAGACTTCCTAGGAAAACCTCCCTTGACCACTTTTCCAATCTTTCTGGATTGTAATATCACTTAACAGTGGTGACTTGTTATCAGTCACTTTGTGATGAGTTTGCTTCGTCTGTAGTGTGGAAGGCTGAAGATCCCAAACCATTTTTCCCCAAAGTCCTCTGAGTTTTCACACCAGGCCTTGCCTCCTGCTTCAGGGTAGTAGCTTGATAGTTCCCACTGCTGCCGTCTGTCTTCCAGGGAGTGTCTCGCCCATTGTCTACCCCAGCATCCTGATGGTAGTCTGGTAATTAAAAGGTAAAAATGCCAAAGTGAAATAATCCCAGTAGTACAACCTCCTGGCTGTATAGCATAAAGCTCTGGTGTCAGCCCTCTGTAGCATATGACTGCAGGACGTGATTGAGTCCTTTCTCCTCTCCGTGGGAAATAGACCAATGTCACCAGAGAAAAACAAAATCAAATTCTATTTAAAAAGAAGAAAATGTAAAACATAAAAGCCCTTGTTAACTAAATACTAATGTGCAAATATTTTTAAAAAATGAAGAGAATAAACTCTAGCACTATTCAGAAAGTGATAAAACAGCTTAAAAAAAAAAAACCCACATACAAACAGAAATTGCATGTGCCAGGGAGGTAGCAGGGAATATGGAGGTAGTCTTGAAGAAGGCATGCAGCAGTCATTAAGAAAATATTTTAACCTGGAAAGACAGATGGGGGTGAGGAAGAATTATCCAGCCTTGAGTCTCTTTGGTATATGAGAGAGAAATTCTATTGGTCTTTCAATATTTGGTTATTATACTCTATAACAATAAAGTAGAATTCCAGTAGTTCATGGAGTGTCTGTTGCCAGACCTGACCTACCTGGAAGGGCTGACATCAACCATAGGATGGCACTGGTCTGCTACAAATTGCTCTTTCTTTGCCCCAAAGTGTTGTAAAAAAGGGATTTATTAGATGTTTCAAATTAATATTACAGATTATAAAGAAATTCTCAGGAAGAATTGATATCTTAATACACAATCTGACAGGTGGATAAAATATTGAGGTTAAACAATTGCACAATTTGTACAGAGAAATAAGAATATTAGGCTTGCACAACACAATAAATCAAGAATCTAGTGCAAAACTGTGGCTAAATATTTTTACCAATTTCTTCAGATAGTTGTTACTTGAAATGTCTCTTCTTCTGCTTCCACTTTCCTGAACTTTCCTTTTTCCTGGAATTCCAAACTTTAATCTGAGGCTGCTGGGAGATATAACAACCCTCATTTTCCCCCAGCCTTGGCTCAGTCATTTGTCCTAGAGTTAGAACCATAGGGTTGGAAGGGACTTCAGAAGTCTCCTAGTCCAGCTCACTGCCCAGGCAGGAATCCTCACACCATCCCAGACAAATGGCTGTCCAGCCTTTGTACAAAAATCCCCAGGGATGGAGTACCCATAACTCCAGGAGCAAGATGAGTCCACTGCTTAATAGCACTCATGGTCACAACATTCCTTATGCTGAGTTTGGATCTCCCTCTGTAAAGGTTCCACCCATTGGTTCTTGTTTTATCATTGGGAACCATCGAGAATATAACTTCTGCCCTTTGTTTCAAAAGGACTTGCTTTTTCTGTTTCCAGCAAAGGGAAGGTCTAGGGATATTTGTCTTTGTATATGACTATGTGGTAAAACAATCTCTCCCTTGTGGGAATGTCTATTCTTTAGCGGGCAGCCTGCTAAATGTCTATTCTTTAGCAGGCAGCTTCTGGCAAGCAGGCATATTCACCACACTTGCTAAACCATTAAAAAAATCTATGCCCTATACATAGGAGAAACCTATTTAATATGTTCATCTTGCTCCAGAAATATTAATATTTCACAGACTGTGAGAATGTCCTATGGACAGATGAGTCCAAACTACAACTTTTGAGCTATGTGGAAACAAAACTCTGCATTCCACAACAAGAAACATATAGCAACGCAAAGCATAGTGATGCTATTATGGTTTGAAAATGCTGTGCTGGTGCAGGACCTGGACAACTTGCCATCACTGAAAAAAGTATGAATTCTGCTTTCTACCAGGGAATTCCACAGGAGAATATCAGGCCATCTCTCAGCTGAAGCTAAAGATGCACATATTTTTTATAAGAAAGCTCATATGCAGCTAGATTATCTGCTTCCCTACATATAGAGGAAAATGTTTCTCCTGTCCTAAAAGGAAAAGGCAAAAAGGTAAGTGAAGGCAAGTATAAATAGCGTTTTTGGTATTTTGACATTATGGAATATCAGTATAAATGAACAATAACACTCATAACAACTTGCTTGATGGAAAGAATGGGGAAATGGCATTGGGCATTACTGGTGCCATCAAAGGCAGGGTCCTCAGAAAAATGCCCCCAAACTAGAATAGTGCTATGTAACATTCACATCTCTGGAGATGTAAGGTTCTTTTTTGATTCTTTAGTCTAAAAGGAATATCAGAGGGGGAAAAAAGGATAAAATGGAAATGAAATGTGGCTTGCAGACTAAAGAATGATGATGTTGCCTAGAGAGTCTATGAAACTGCCATAATAAACTCTGCACATTGCATGTTAAAATGTCTGTATAGAAATGTACTTGATTAAAATATTTATTTTATTTTATTCTGTTTTATGTATTTCATTGTGCAAGATGTAGTAACATAAAACAGACTATGGTCATTGTTTCTGTCAGCTCAGCCTGGGATTAAAGAGTTGGTCCAGAAATGGATCTCCCTTTTTTTCCCTTGGATACCAGCCAGAGCTCCATTACCATCATTAAATCCTCCCTTTCACTCAGTCAAAAAGCAACATCAGACTATCCCTCCAATCCATCAAGACATGAGTGTGAAGTCTTGATGGGCAGGTATACAGGAAAAAATACTTTGGATGCAAACTCGGGTATCTCCTGTGCCTTGCCTCCTAACCCCATTCTCTTGGAACCAAGCTGACTAATGTTTTAAAAGAGCAGATTGGAGCCACAAAGGGAACTGAGTCATAAGCAGTAGGATTGCTCGCCCCTTCCTCTCCTTTCTTCACGTAGCAACAAACAGTGACTTCCAGATTCCTTGTGCTGTTAGGAGAGGGGGAGGGAGGTTGTGTCCTATAATTCGATTTTCACTGTTTTACCTATGCACTAGGCTAGGAAGGGCCATAGAATTAACACACTTGAAGAGAACTGCTGGCTAAGCAGCCTTGCACTATTGCACAAGTCCGACAGACTATCAGCAGACTCCCGCAGCGTCCAACTTCTCTTGGCGCAGTAACAGCCGTAGGAAACTAAGCAGCTGCTGGGAGTGGGCGGGAACGTGCCCAGATGAGTCTCAAATGGCCAATAAGCAGCACTCTCATCCTGCCCACTATTGGTCACCTGAAGTCGCCTTCGCCCGCACGCGCGCGTGTGTCTACTTTTTTTTTTTTTTTTTTTAACT